AAGTGGGGAAGGGAACCAGGGTGTGGGGGACACAGAGTTGGGCTCTCTCTCCAGCTTGTGTCTCTCTCCACACATCGACTTTGCTTCACTGCCACACATCTCTCTGCAGTGGGGGTTTTACAAAAGATGACAGAAGGAATTTTACGCATCTTAAAAAATAGTCGCATTTCTCTCTTTTCCCAGCAGGATCCAGCTGCAAATATACCGGAACCAAGTCTTCCTATCTGCTCTAGTTATTGGCAAGGATGCAAGTTACTGTGAACCTTAAGAATGGTTTTAAGCTCTGGATCTGACACTCTTTGGAATTATTTGTCATTTTTTGCCCATGGTTTCAGTGATAGGGAATGGACCCAGTAGCCCCTTCTTTCTGGGGCTTCTTTCTCTCTTTCCTTTTGTAGTTTTTGCCTTTATAGATACAGTTGGATATATTCAGGGGACTTAGAGGGATTTGAAGCGAGACCTTATGGTCCTGTACAGTTGTCTGTTTTCCCTTCTCTGCTTCATTTAAGACCCTCCAAGCTGAATAGGACATAGCTATTCACGTTCTGATTCTCTCTCTCTGCTGGGGAGGGCTCCAGTGGAGATGGCCTTAGCTGTGCCAAGAAGAGTTTAAGATTGCTACACGGGGGACCTTTCTGATAGGGAATGCTGTGAAATCTAAGATGACTTACTTAAGAGGAGTCAGTTGGAAAGAGTTCCCTTCTCTCCCCAAAAGTAAGAGCCCCACTTCCAGAGAAGGCTCTGAGAGCAGAGAAGATCCCAGCTTTCCAACATCAGGATTGGCTGCTCTCGGGGAAGAGACTAGATGAGACTACAGATGACTAAGGCCCCTGAGCAGTGTTAGTTTTCTTAGGCAAAGCACGGCTCCTAAACAACACACAGTTCTTTTAAACCCATGCCAGGGACGACCCTTCAGAATCCCATTGTGCTGCCATGTCCTTTTCCACTTACTTGGGTGGACCCTAAGGATGGTCCCTTGTCCAAATGTCAGCTTGCCAGCGTTAGCACCAGTAGTAGCACTGTAACAGAGGCCTTTGCAAAAACACCTGGTGGAACCCCCAGGCTCACAGATAGCTTTCCATTTTAGTTTTTTGGGGGAAATAAACTCACTCGGAAAGGCCTAGGCCTATGAGGCTGAGTATGACCTTCTGAAGGTCAGGGACCATTTCTACATTTGGTCCAGAGACACTGACCAGCCGCACCCAGGGCCTGCCTCCCACCCCTTTCCTCTGGTTTCACAAGGCTTCCTGATTTCTCCTGATCAGTGTTCTCTTCTAAAGGTCTCATTTCCATTTACAGCACCACTTTCAGGACAATTTCTCTGTTCAGCTCGCAAGGCATGTCCTTCCCTCCCCTCGAGGTGTCGCACATTTCTGATGACAATGAATTGATTACAAGGAGACAGGAGGATAGTGTTCCGCCATTTGGAGGCTGACTGGAATGAGAAGAGGTTTAGACTCAGCCCTGGGAAATGCTGTCTCCTCAGTTCCCTTCCTGCCTTATCACAGGAGAGGGAAATGGTGGGCACACTGAGCTGAGCCTCCACACAGCGTAGCTTTCTGCTGTTCTTGCACTGATGGCATGCACGCAGTAGCTCACAGGACGTTCACCTCTGAGCCCGGGTATCCCAGTGAACTATCTGTTAACGTAATGAGCTGTTTGGGGAAGCCTCTCAATCTTGGAAAGAGCTGGTGACCCTACCATCTGTGCAGAGGTCTACACACTTACAGAGCAGGCCTGGCACTTCCGTGGAGAATGACATGTCCTCATGGAGACGTCCCTGTAGAGTTACTTGGGATGGCTGTAAATTCCATGCCTTGATCAAATGAAGTTCCTAGTGCTGACAGTCACAACCATGGGAAACTGGGGGGTTTGTTGGCTAGTCTGATGGATGCCACAAAAAGTTGCAAAGAGAAAAACTCACATGATTTTATGATATCACATATTTTAGTCCTTTAACTCAATTTGACTTTTATACTGTTAAGCATTTTTTTTTTTCTCAGCTAAGTTTTTGGTAACATCTCTACCCTGAATCATTCATTAGTGTCCCTTTCCTGGAGCCACTCTTTTTAAGAGCTTTGCCTGGTCTGTTTCACAACAACCCCACCCCACTGTGGCTTTTCTCTTGATCACAGAGGACAGAGCTGAATAAAAGAAACTAGGAATCTGGCTTCTATGCAGCACCCTGGGCACACAGCCTATACCAGCACACCCTTCAAAGTTCTCCTACTTTCACGTTAGCTGAATTTTAGAACAGGTCAGTTTTGAAGTAGATTCTTAAAACCCACCAGCAACACAGATTTTTTTTGAAAGTGTCAATAACAACCACAGTGACTTTTCTGTAAAATTTTAACTGTTTCAGTGCACACACGTCCTCACCAGTGCACACACATCCTCATCAGAGCACACCCATCCTCACCAGTGCACACCTATCCTCACTAGTGCACACCCATTCTCACCAGTGCACACACGTCCTCATCAGTGCACACCCATCCTCACCAGTGCACACCCATCCTCATCAGTGCACACCCGTTCTCATCAGAGAGGGCAAGAGCAGAGACTGCTCTATTTTGTTCTCACAACTCAGAGGATGGACAGATTCCTCTAGTCTCAAGTGAACTAAGAAGAGGCTGAATGATTACCAAGAATATGAAAGGGATTAAATGCTCTTCCCAGTGAACCTCACAGTCTCTTCTACAGAGATCTCAAGTCTTCAGGCAGGACTAAGTACAGTGTCTTTAAGAGAAAGAGCAATAAGGCAAAAGAAAAAGATCAGGTTATAGGATTCCCATCATTAATGAAATTTCAGGGTCCCACATTATTTTGGGGGTAGTTTTAGTATCTACATTACTTTTGGGTCACTAAATTTGAATAGTCACAACATACCAATTTTCTCTCAACCTTTCTGGAAAATCCTTTCCAGCTTTAGCCGAATCCCTCTGAATCCTATATTCAGTTTGCCTTCCTGTACCAATAATGTCACTTAAGGCAAATTGTTAGGATATTTTTGGCTAGAAGCAATTTAGTCTTTGTACTGTGGCATTGGGCATCATCTCTCCATGATAAATCCATTCAGATTTAGAAGCTAAGCTGGGACACTTTGGAGGGGCAATGCTTGGGAAGAGAGGCATCTGAATGTCCCCTTCTGCCACCCCCTTAAGACTTACTTGGATTCACAGTTAAGAGAGTTCCTTTTCCAAATGTCAGTGTGTAGCCGCTTCCACTGTTCCCACAGCCTGGGGAGGCTTTACAAAAACAGGAACTAGGGCTGCTCTTGCAGAAGGGCCCTGGCTGCTCTCGTCCCTGCACTGCATTATAGATTTGCCAAGACGTGGGCTTCTAGAGGCCAGTGGAAGGCTGTGATATAGAAACCCAATACATATATATGTCTCTCTACGTCTTAAATGCGATTTTTTATTGCTCTTTTTATGACTAAGCTGCCACCTTCGTTTTGGTAAGCCTTTTCTCTCTCTTCCTTCCTAATTGTTTTCTCCTGCTCGGTACCCATGTAGTTTCTAGTTTATTGCACTTTTTGGGTCACGATTTCTCTGCTGTTTATTGAATTACTTACAATCAATTCACTAGTTTCTGGTCCATGGGAAAAGGATTTCAGAAGAAAAAGAGGCCAGGGATACACCCATTACATAAGGCTGAGGGCTTGCTCATCCTAAACTGTGTCTGTCTCTTCAGCAGAGCTCTGAGGACACAGCCTAGAAAGATGGTTGTGGAGACCTATAAGCAGCTTCGGCCTCCATACCCAGTCAGGTCAGCCTGTCCCTTGCTCACACACCAGCTTCTAGAAACCACTCTAGGAGTTTGGCCACACCGCACAGCTTTACAAAGCTTGTATGCAAACTGCACAGCAGAGCCTCTTTCCTCTCTTGAAGAAGCCAGGTCAGGTGCCTAGCAGTCAAGTCTGCTATGGAGCCTCACAAACCTGTGGGGTGTGGCTGCACCTCCCTGCTGCGCTTCTCTTGCCCTTCACAGCCTCCTTTACCAGTTGGAGACAGTGTACTGGAAACTTCAGTTCCTTTGTCAAACATTTAACATCTTTATCTTTTTCTCCTTCATAGATCTTAACTTCTTTTCCTCCCACCCTTCATCCAGCCTTTACAGAACTTTCCCTGAAACAGTTGGATTAAAGGAATCTTTACACTTAAAAGTCTCCCGAGTGAAGTTAAGCTGACTTCCTACTTAAAGTTCCTGGACCGACTCTGGGGCCTCCTCTTCGGGGACTCAAAACACCGCTCTAAGACAGGAAAGGTTAAAAGGCACACGGAGGAGCCAGGGAGGAGCCTGTTCCCAGAAATCCTCTCATTTTCTGTGCTTAGGTGGATTTTTTTTTCTGAACACCTCCCCCTCCCCAACCCACAGCCACTAACAGGGAGCTGTCCTCAAAATCAACTCCAGAGTGTCCTTCCCATGTGACCTCTAGTCCTGAAAGAAAACACAGCACAGTTTCTCGTTGTGCAGCACAAGAGGACTGTGGGAGGATCTGTTTGCCTCCCGCCACCTGCCCTTCTTTAATAGTTTCAAACTAGTCACAGAAACGCCCCTTTAGGCTGGAGAAATGTGCTAAGTTTCTAATCGCTTCATCTTTCTTCTTGCTATCCATTTACTACAGTCATATATTTACAATCTAAATTTCCATTTCATTTCCATCTCAGGAGCTCCCTAATGCACTTTTCTATTACTTCCAGAACACTGTGCAGAATGACAAACTCTCAAAACAAAACAAATCACAAGAACATTTTGGGCAAGAGTCTGACATTTCTGTCTGCTGAAGACGGGTCTGGGATGAACATATTATTATGACTGTTCCAGGCAAGACCAAACAGGCAGCCCAGACAACTGGGCAAAGAGGCTCGCGGGATTGACAGGCCATGTCTAAGGAGTTATCTACTGAACATCACTCCTTGGGATTAATTTGGATTTCCTCTTTAATCTGCTTCTCAAATGTCAGTTTCCTATCTTTTTTAGAACCCCTCTGGCAGGGAAAGCTTAAGGTAGATCTCAGGGATGCGTTTTCAACCTCAACTGATATTTCATCTTCACACATCACAAATAGAGGGACCGAAAGAAAAACTACAGCATAATGGGAAAGAATTTAAAACAGTTCCTTGGGAAGTATAAGAATTATAAATAAAATAGAGTTGTATATTTTTCCTGATTATATTTCTCGTATTTGGAGAGCTCTAAACAGCCACTCCAGTGTGGAAATGCAGTCACTGACCTGCCTGTCCCTTAGGCCCCTGTGAATCACTAGACACATAGGCCAGCACCTAAATGGTTTTCTACTTGATGCTGTTTTAGCATGAAGGACTTAAGGAAGGTCAAACAGAGGCAACACAGTGGTTCTGAGGACATTTTGATTCTGGCTTTTTTAAATGTGGATAATAATTCAGCCATGCAAGTGGATTTGCTTTGAGATACCCAGTTGGGTAGCTGGTATTTTGGAATTATGAGTCAATTTAACTCCTAAATAATTATTTGGAATAGGCTTCCATTGGTGTAGAAAATAGAAATTGTCTCGCAAGGCAAAATTTCAGCAACACTGAAGCTGAGAGAGATTAGGTTGTTTTGAGAATGGCGAGGCAGCACCCAAAGCATCCTTCTGGCCTCATGGAGTGAAGAGAAGGGTTGTTAAGATGCCTGGCCTAAGAGTCCTTTTCCAAGCCCAGAGGCCAGTTTATCAGCAAGAACACAGAAGTGAGAGAGTATCAGAAGTCTCCTCTGGTGCACAGAACTCAGTCCAGACAAGGACGCAAACATTCCGGGAGGACCCAGTTAGAACACAGCAGTGAGCATCATCCTGCGACATAGTCTCAGAGGCTCCTGGTCCTTCTGACTCATTTGAAATTTGCTTTAAATGTTGCCTCTCCCCTAAACATCAGATTTTCATCATCAGTACCAAAGAATCTTACACAACTTTGCCTAACTAGCTTGACTCTAAGAGTTTGACTTATAGAAATTCCAGATAGTTCATTTCTTAATTGTGTCAACATGGAAGCCTCTCCTAGTCATGTATGTGAAAGCAAGGTGGTCATTCAGTGTCCAACGTGCACCTCACTGTCTCTTCCTGGGTCAGGCTGCTTGCGATCCTATCGATGTTTGCCTTGTGACCAGCCTATGCTCTCCTCACCCTCCTTCCTTTCTAGATGCATTTTGTTCCTGAATACTAAAGCTTCAACTCAGCAGCCTTTAGTCAGACATAACCCCCTTAACAGAGTCAGACTTAACATTTCCAAGTGTTTAAAAGTGTCGACAGCAGTCTAAGGTTCTGGTGTAGGGGCTGGCTATGGTGCTACCGTGACCAGTTAGCAATGCAGTGGAAGATGCTGGTCAGTGAGTAATGTGGTTGTTTCCAAAGAATTTTTACAGTGATAGTTTAGGTTTAGAGACAAGTAAGTGTCATCAAACATACCTGGTGTGACC